ATGTTGTTAATTTTGATAATATCAAATAATACAGTTCTTCAAGTATGGCTTGTATCGCAACTGGCTCAGTTGCGTACTTTTGTTGAAGTGAAAAATAAAATTTCTCTGCATTGCCTTTGAATTCATTCATTTCTTGTAAAAAAAAAGATTCAACTTGTAAAAACTCTTTTTCAGTTACAACCAAGTTTTTGAAACATTCTTTATCTTATTAACAAAATCAACCATTTGTTGACAGTTTATACATTGCACTTGTTAATAGATTATTAAACTGTGTACTTTGAATACATATTGACCTTAATGTTTGTTTTGCACTTTCAGCGGGCCGCTAGTACATTTTCAACATAAAATTTTAAAAACAATCGGCCTGTGTTTCCAGACTATCTATTCTTGTGACTATGTATTACATTATTTCAAACGAAAACTCGTGCTATAAGAATATAGTTTAAATGTTTGTATTTTTTATGTCAGGTTGCAGAATTATTATTTTATGTTTAAGGTACACGAGTTTTCAATTTAGAAAATCTGATCCTCTCCATCATGGCTATTAATATTTTAACGGGCAACATAAACGGTCTAAACGACCAAGATAAACGTGACAATTTTTTCGGGTTTTTCAAAAAATCCATCTTCAATCTTATCCTCCTTCAGGAAACAAAATCCGGACCTTTCACTGATAAACAGTGGAGTGACGAATGGATTGGCAATTTTATTTGGAACTCCAATCCGATTCATTGCTGTTGTGGGGTGGCAGTACTCTATAAACTCAAAGTTTCTTTAAATGAACTAAAAAGGGATAAAAACGGAAGAATATTAAACGTTGTGATAAAAATTGATGAACAACATACACCAAATTTCTCACCAACTCTTTTTCCGACCACGAGTTCCTAACAACAACCGTCAATTTTAGTAAAACTAGGAGAGGACCAGGATACTGGAAATTAAATTGTTCCATTTTGGAAATAGAAGTGCATAGACAGAAAATTGAACTCTTATTTCAAGATTGGCAAACTAAAAAACGGTCCTATAAGTCAATTTTAAAATCGTGGGACGACTGCAAACTTTTTGTTAGGGTAAAATTACAACATATATCAATACAGGAAAATGCGAAAAACAAAAAATACATCAAAAGGATTGAAAGCGAAATCCAAAAAAACGTGGTACTTTTTTCATGCTCCAATTTCCAGGAGTGTTTATTTGCACAAAACAAAAACTAATCGAAGAAGGGGATTAACCTTCAGAATTTTTGTATAATTTAGAAAAAGTTCAACAGCGGAAAAAGTAAATCATTGAAATTCGCGAGAATGACGGCACATTGACGATTGAACCTGGTGAAATACTTAACTCCCTCGTTTCATATTATAAAAAAAATTTACACCAAAACGAATTTATGCAAAGTCAGCCAAAACTATATCTTGTCACACACCAACAAACGTTTAAGTGATGATGCAAACCAAATTTTAAATACCCTTCTAACCAGCGTGGAGCTAAAAAAAGCCGTTTTTAAATTTGTAAACGGAAAATGTCCGGGCTATGACGGACTTCCAGCTGAGTTTCACAAAACCTTTTGGCACATTTTAGAAAAAGATTTTTAAAGAATATGCATACAAAATACTTTTCGTAGAAAAAAATACCAGTCACTCTATCAAAAAATCAATGATTTCACTGATTCCAAAACAAGGAGATCTTACTGAATGTAAAATTTGAAGGCCCATATCCTTAATTGGTGCTGATTACAAAATAATCACAAAAGCGCTGGCCCTAAGACTTGCAAAATAAATGGGGAAAACTATAGAACCAAGTCAAACTTGCGGAATCCAGATAGAATAATTTTTTCAAATTTTCATTTAGTCCGTGATCTAATACTACGCAGAATTTAAAAATCTACCTAGCTTCATTTTTTCAATAGATCAAGAAAAGGCGTTTGACAAAGTTGATCGTGCTTTTCTGCTGCAGATTCTCCAAAAACTTAATATTGGAGAAACCTTTGTTAATACCCTATATTCAGAAGTTTCGGCACCTGTTCTGAATTGCGGTTTCTTGTTAGCCTCTTTCCCTACCAAAAAGGGAGTTAGACAAGGAGACCCCTTCTCTCTTTTGCTGTATGTTTTTATTGCCAAAGTGCTCGCAAGGTGATCAGAGCAGAGAGCAGAATAGAGGGCTTCCCACTACCAGGAACACCAAAACCACTTAAATTACAGAAGCACACAGATGATTCGAACTTTTTTGCCAGGGACGTAAAATTAGTCCGCTTTTTTTTCGAAACATTAAAACTATTTGAAAAAACAAGTGGTTCAGTGATCAATGCCTAAAAACTGTCTCGCTCTTGAGGGTTTTGAGCCTAAAAGGTAACCAGAATTGGACAACATAGAGTGGACCAATAACACCGGTTTCAAAGCTTTGGGTGTTAGGTTTTTACACCAGACTCAGTATTATTACCAATTTCAACTGGTAGTAATTTCAACTCTAAACCAAAATGGAGAAAAAACTCAAGTTTCTAGGACTACGTACTTTGTCACTTAGGGGGAAAACTGTTGATAAATACGTTAGCAATATCAAAACTGTGGCTTCTGGTAAACGTAGTGTCCGTTGCGGAATGGGTAATAGAACGTTTACACAGTGCCATATTTGAAAATCTGTGACAAAAGACCAATTTCAATCCGGTCAAAAGAGAGACACTTTTCTTACCCGTCAAAAACGGGGTACTCGGAATTTTATCGCCGCAGGAGCAAAGCCTTGCACTTTGCCTAAAAACACTCTTTCAACTAAAAGAATGCGGAGAGGATAAAACTAATGATTACTATTACTTTTCAAAGTACTGGTTAGCAAGTTTACTTAATAAGTTTACAAACCAAAACCAAAGTTGGAAATTTTTGAAACAGAACAATTTTCCAAAACACTGGGACAACAATATGTCTCAATACTAGAAAATAACAATTGAAATATTAGACAAAAACGGGCTCCTCTTTAACATCCCTCTAAAATTAACAAAAAAAAATTTATTTAGAAGTGGCAAAAAACAAAAAGACAGTCGTGCCAGCAGAACCTTTTTGGAACGGTTCAACAAAAACAACAAAGCCGTGGGCCCAAATTTGGAAATAAAACTTTACCTCCCACGCTTCCAGACCGACTCAAAATATCCTCTTTTGATTTCTACACAATAGTCTACCTTCTGCGGTCTTGTTAGCTAAAAGCACATGGCAACAGATTGTAAAAAACAATAAATGTAAAACTTGCGGTAAAATTGAGGACAACATCCACATATTTGCCTACTGTCCTCATTCTGTTGAAATATAGGAATATTTTAAACATGTATATAATTCGTTGACATCCCAAAAAAATTTATCTCCGATAAATTCAGTCTTCTCGATTGGGATAGCGAATCTATCGGAGAAGAACCCTATTTTGCAAATGCTGTTGACACTTACTCAAACCATTATGAGTAAAATATGGAACAGCAGATGCCACCACATGTTTAGTAACATAAGAATTGACCCATAGGCAGTGATCAGGGTAATAATCAGGAACATCAAAAATATCATTACTTTAAAATTTAGTTTTCATGTCCGTATTAACACTGCGAACATTTTGTGTCAATTTTTTTGTATTAACAATGTATTTTGCTAAGTAGAGAATGGGAAACTAAAACTAATATATGAGCTGAAATAATACGCTGGCTTATAACTCAGAATTGAATGTTTAGTAAAGACCTCCTGTTCTCCGTAATGCTTTAATTACAACAAAAATATTGTTATTTATGTTTAGACAATCACTGCCAGCCCTTATTTTATGAAATATTATTTTAACACTTATGTGTTATATGTAAAGAGTGTAAAGTGGCATTTGCGTAAAAGTCCTGTAAATTTCTTTATTACCTATTTGTTTTTACTTTAATATAGTGTTTCTTTTTAAACACTCTAATCTAACATTGAATCTTTCAATATATATAAACTCTTTTTAAACCTTACAAGGTTTTTTACATTTCTCCGCACAATGGCTAAAGATCAAAAAAATACAAAATACAAAAAAATATATACCCAAAAAACAAAAAAATACAAAAAAATATAAAACTTAAAAGCATAAAAACAAAATGTATATAAATAAAAATATAAATAAAATGTTTATAAATAAAAACAGCTGAATAATTTTATAATATATATTGATAACAACATTTGTAAAACTTCTAAACTGTAATACCATAACTTAACCTGAGAGTAGAAATTTATAAAATTATATACAATTTATTGTTTTATAGAAAAAAAAAAAAACTTTTGTTAGGTGACCTAAATAACAGTGCGTATTTCACCTTTAAACATTGTTTGCAATCCTGTCCGCTTTCTTTATACTATGTTTCTAACGCGACTATTTCTGTCTTTCACTTTAACATATCTTCGTTCTTCTTAAACTCTCTTTACTCTTGGTCCGTAGAGCGGTTTTTAACGCTCCCTTCGGAGCTGAACCAGTCATTGTGGACCTTGGTAATGTGATCTCTATATGGCAATTAACCGGAGGAGAATAAACCACAATACCAGTCATATCAAGTGAACTATTTTCAAGTCTTAGATGGTTCGACTAACAGCACTAATGCACCTTCTTACATCGTGTACAATTTCTGCCCACTTTCTCTCTGCCATCTTTCTAACATGACTACTTCTGTCTTTCACTTTAATATAACTTTGTTCTTCCCAAATTCACGTGACTCTTGGTCCGTAGAGCAAGTGATGACGCTTCTTAGGGAGCTGAACTTATTTTTACGGGCCTAGGTAATGTGACTTCCACAAGGCAAAAAGCTGCCGGAGGATAAACCACAATACCTTCATACCATGTGAAAAAAAAGGTTATAAAAAAAAACTCAATTTTTGAATTGTGCTAATTGCCATTTTAAAATAAGTTATGCATAACTTATTTTAAAATGTAATTTTCTCGCTCGAAACAAAATTTATTTTCTTTCCAAAAATTTATTTATTAACCTGAATTCAATTAATGCCAACAAAAAGTTTTACATCTATTTATATCAAATAACTGTCCACAAAGATCTTCATTACAAAAACCATTATATACTTAATTACAATTAAAATAATTAAAAACCATTAAAAATAAGAAAGTACTTAATTGTCATAGAATGTTCTTGAACATTCGCACCAAACTTTACATAAAATGTTTAATGTATTTTTTTCCTACTTGTTTTAGTTTTGTTAAAGCGAAACTTTTGCGTTAAAAATTTGGTGCTAACCTGATGTCAATCAAGTTTTGTTTAAGGTCGGCATGTTATTACCAACCTTAAACTATTTTTTCAAAGGTTCCAAATGTTGGATGATTTTTTAATCTGTTCCACAAATGTTTTTGGAGAAAAACAATTATAAATTTAATATATTCAAATGAATAAAAATTTACCTATCTTGTATTTACATATAAATCCCAATAATTGATCACAAGTATTGTCATTCCAACCATTTAATGTTGCTTCCACGCAAGACTCATTCATATCATTCCAATTGTTTGGTTCGCCTGACTTCCAATCAGTAAACTGTAAAATTGTATTATCAGACCAGGAAAAACTTCTTTCTGATGAAATGTTTAGACCTTTCAAAATAAAACATAAACTATTGTATTATTAAAGAGTTATATTTAATATTATTATATTAGAGTGGAGTAAACAAAAAAGTAATCAAACTCCAATAATGATTTGAAAACATTAGAAAGTTACTAAAAAACCAAAAAAAAAAAGCTTTGACTCTGCAAATTTCTGCAAACTTGATTTAAAAAACAAGGTTTTTGATGCATTACTTAAGAGCCGTGGCTAGGCTTCCCCACACACCCCAACTAGGAGGGGGGCAGCATTTTAAGGGGTCTTTTTCAAATAAAAAAAAAAAATTGTATTTTTTATAATAAAAATATTTAAATATATATAGTTACTGTTACTATTAATAAAAAATCTTGGCCTTTTAATCACAATATTACCTAAATTATGCAAGCGTAAAAAAAGAAATAACATTTTTTAACCAAAAAAAAAAATTAACACTCGTGAATTCCGAATTATATTATAAAACGCAAGCTTTATAAATTTATTACTTTTATTTTGCAATTTTGAATTAAATTTTTTATTATTTTTATGCGTTGTTAGTTTTTTATATCATAAAAAATAAACAATGAAAGAAGGTTTGCAAAAATTTATATTTATCGTTCGTTAGTTTTTCACGATAAAAATATTAGTATGAAAAAAGTGAAAAGTGGTGCGACTAAGAGAAAAGAAAAAGCTGCAGTCTGGTAGGAAATCAAAAAATACCTTAAACTAACACATTTTTTGAAACCAGCAGTTTAGCCTGGAAGGGTTTCGACACCAACAGAAACTACAAAGAATTCTGATTGTCATTAATTGAATACTAGAGTCAGATAGGTTGATATGTCTACATCAAATGGCATAACAATTCCGTCTATTTTTCTCAGTGATGATCCTTCTGAGTTGCCTGATGATGTTTCTGACACACAGAGGTGTGACATTGTGAAACGTGGTTTTAAAAAGATTGAAATTGATTTTCCAGTCAATTTAAAACGAAAAGATTTTTACTGAATTATTAGAACAGCAAGGTGAAGAATGGAGAAATCATTGAATGGACATGGCTTGTATATTCTTTAAAGAGCAATAAAGTATTTTGCTTTTGTTGTTAACTTTTTCGGATAATTTTTGACCAATCCGTAATGAACACTAGGGAAGGTTTATCAAAAAAACTTAAAGAACACGAAACATGTTGTGCACATTTTAAGTGCTTTGAACACTAGATGACTTAACGAAAAGGTTAACTCATATTTCGTTTAATTTATTGCTTTGTTACTTTTTTTTCCTAATTAATTTAAATATTCAATTTTGGTTGCAGGCATTGCAAATAAAGCTACCATAGACGAGCAACAACAAAAGTTGCTCGGCTATGAAGTGCAGTGTTAGAAAGGATCTTGGACAATACCTTATTTCTTTCTACAAGAAATCTTGAATTACGTGGTTCAGACACAGCCATTGGTTCAAAGAGCAATGGAAACTTTCTTGGGGTATTTGAATTAATGGCTAAGTACAAAACCGTTCTTAATGAGCTTATGTAAAGAATTCAGGGGAAAATAACCAAGGAGCACTATTTGAGCAATGACACACAGAACGAGGTTTGAAGAAAAGATTGAATCCAAAAACCTGTCTAAGGTAAAAAAAGAAAAATATTAAATTTTTTTTTTATATTGTACGTCGTGCATTTTGCATAAAAAACAAATAAACATTGGTCATCTATCAGTGCAATTTTGTTTTTTGATGTTCTTTCAAGGTTATTTACACTCTTTTTATTTTCTCCTCCTCGATGGGAAATTTTAAAATTGTGCGTGGTTATTTCTGTCAAACCACAACCAGATACTATATGGGAAAGTAGAATAAACTGTGTTAAACCACTTAAATGTTATTTAAAAGAAATCTTAGATGCACTCGATAGTTTGGAAGAACATGGCTTAGAAGTGAGATTGAGCTACAGCCACAAAAGTACAATCGCTAACGGAATATATTAGAACATGGCCTTTTTTATTATCAATCATTATTTGGCATGATGTTTTATTTCAAATCAACAAATCAAGTAAGTCTTCTGCAACCTCTCTCGACATGTTAGCTAGTAAAATAAAGGTAAAAAATGCATTTCTTTATTAGTATTGCAAAAATGGGTTTTCCGTCGTACGTATTAAGGCATTAGAAAGCGCAAAAGTATTGAGCATTGAAAAGGTTTTAGCAATAATACGTTTACAAAAAAAAAAAAGTCAATTTATTCATACGAGTGTGTTGATCACACTCGGTAACCTAAATATCAGTATAAAGCCTTTTTTTGCCATTAATTGATATGTCAATTGCATCAGTAAAAGAAAGTTTTGAACAGATCAGCATTGTCACAAAGCTTAATGACTTTCTTTACCAATCTGAAAGTCTTATCAAAGCCAATAATAAAAATTATTTGTCTATATATTGCAAAAGTTTGCAAATGAAGCTTGGTGATAGCTATTTTGAAGGTTTAGAAACGGATTTAAAACGATTTATTATAGTTAAAAAAGGAGGGAAAAAATGCCTCAAAGAAGAGCTGCAAGAAACCTATCCCAATCTAGTTGTTGCATTATGAATCATTCTTACTTTATCAGTTACTGTTGCAAGCGCAGAACGTAGCTTTAGCAAGTTAAAACTAATTAAAACTTTTCATAGGTTAGTATAAATAATATTGCTTCATTATACATGAATATATTTCTTTGTATCTTTAAATAGGTCAACAATGGTCGTTAAACGTTTGTCTTCTTTAGCAACGCTGTCAATTAAAACCGAGGTTGCAAGAAAATTAAGTTATGGAGGCTTAATAAATGAGTTTGCAAGCAGGAAGACACGTCGCAAACTCTTTTTTTTTAATGGTTTGCAACGTACTTGTATTATTTGCGTAATACATTAACAGTATTTATAAAACTCTTTACTAGTAAACTCTATATTAATTTAACAATTATAAAATATATTTAATTTAGTTTAAGCGTTAATTAGATTGTTTTTAGTCTTATGAATAGCAACATTAAAATATGTCAGGTACCCTGCTTTTCGGTGTAGTCTGTAAATTTTATCCACTTTTTTAGAATAAATAAATAAAAAACTAGGGTCCAAATTACTAGTTTTTTTTTTGTTTTTTTTTTTTGGGGGGGGGCCCAAACCCAATTGCCACGGCACTGCACTACTTGGTTTGAACAATAACACTACATTTGAAAATGAATTAAGTATTGATTTGCAATTAAGTGACGCATAAATTTACATTTTAATTTACTGTTAAAACTTTTAACATTTTTATGTTATGCAATGCCTCAAATGGTTACACTTTTAAAACATACATTTATTTCAAAAAGTTAACCAATTGAGATATAACGTTACGAAAAGTTACGCTACATCTGAAACAAATATAAAAAAATAAATGAAATATTTACCTAACTTTAGTACTAAAATTATACTTCATCCTAAATTCAAACAATGTTAGCAAATTTAATGAAATATGCATGCTGATTTTTGTATAATATTTTATGCTAGACTAAAGATGCAATATTGAAAGAGTTTATTATCGCTTGTATCACTCTTTACATAAAAGATATTCTGAATGAGATATAATATTGTGTCAGATAGTTAGTTCTACAAAAAACTTGACCTACTAATTAGTTCTTTATAAAGAATATCTACTAAAAAGTGGAACTAATTTTTAGATGTCTTACTGAAACCTAAATTATTTCAACCAAATATATTAATTATTATTTTCAATTGATGATGTTTTAATTTTCGATCGATTTAATAGAATTTTATTTTCAACCAATTTAAGATAATTCAATTTTTAACCGATTTTAGGCGATATTCATTTCGACCTACAAGTCTCTGTTTTTTAACCTTTTTTCTTTGCGTTTTAAAATTTTTTTTTAAAAAAGGAACTTTGCAACAAACCAATAATAGACAATTCTGACATCTTACTAAAACAGCCTGTTGCCTTAAACTCATTACATACATCAACTACCTTTAAAGCTTGCTACCAGTTGGAAAGTGCCACTACATCGACTAAGTGTTTTGGTTGGGGCAACAATTATTTCTTTTATTATTTTTTATTTTTTTCTTCTTCTTCTCAATAAGCTGTATGATATTATAATATAATATTTTCTGTATGGTGATCAATAGAAAAGAGGAGATTGTACAATGCATAGTTAATAAAAACGGAGTCCTATTACTTAGCGAGGAAATACCAGAGTGGACCCCTTTTTATGAAAATTAAATAAATAAAAACCATTTTTTTTTAAATGTCATTTGTTTTTCGTTTTAATATATTTTGCTGGTTTATTTCTTTTTTACCCACCTTTAATAATTTATTTCACTTCTTTTTTGTGACTTTTTTAAAACTTAACAAGTTAGAAAATTGGTCATAGCTAAATGATTCATTAACTTAAAATGGTCTTTTTCATTTACAGTTAAAATTTAGTCTACAGCCTGATATCAAGTAGGGATACGGCCTAGTTTCAACTGAAAACTTTTAACTTTTGGTATTGGAACTACTAACAGGTCCTTAATATTCCTTTGACCTATTTATTATTGTAAAATGTATTAGATAAATAAGATAAACTAAAGTAGTATGCAGAAATCATGATTTATGGAACATTATGGAACTTTTTCAAAAAATTTTGTGCCACTTTTTTTGAAGTCTGTTTTAAGGTTGTGCTGCACAAAAGTTTTTATGAGGCCTTCTTATTTAGAAATGTATATTAACCTAGATGTTTTTTATAATATGGTGAAATTGGTTATACCTTGAGAAAAATCATACAAAGTTAGGCTTTTGCACATAAGTTAGTTAGCATGTCAGCAATGATCAAAAAAACAGCGTTTTTGAGAATTGGAAATACCAATTCAGGTCTATTTTCAATCAAAAATTTGGGCAAAATAATCAAATTTTTATGTTGCAAAAATTATAGGTTTTATTCATCATTTAAAAGATAATTAAATGCTGAGTAAAAATTTTTGCTTACGAAAAATTTTAAAAATGTACGGTTCGTGAGTTATGGCCGTT